AAGCTCTTCTCCAGTACTGCTCAATCAATAATGTAATGTTCTTCTTAACATCTTCAAAAAGGAGAAGAGAATTGTTCAATTTCCAATAAGAAGGAGATGAGCTGAAATCAAGGGTTGCAGAAAGACAAACCCTAAGAGAGACAGCACTGTGATCTGTAAGAGGTGTAGCATGAATGCTGACTGATTTACAACTATTTGCTAGGCTTTGGGAAATAAGCCAGTAATCTATTCGGGACTGCTTAGAACGGTCCTTGCTGCTCCACGTATAGAGTCTCTGCTGTGGATATATTTCTCTCCATATATCAACAACACAAAAACGCAACATGAAATTATTCAGAATTGGACTTATAGAAGCAGCTCTAGGGGGAAATCTATCTAAATCACTATTTAAAACCATATTGAAATCCCCACCTAAAATAAGAACAGCATTGGGGTATTTATTTAACCAGTACTGAATATTTTCACTGATCATGTCCATTAAAGTGATATTTTCTATAGTAGAATTGTACCCATACACATTTAATAAAACTGAGATGGTCTGACCAAGTGAAACCACTAACAAGAGAAAATGACCCTTGGGATCACTGACAATGTGTAGAATCTCACCAGCAAACTTATTTTTTTTAAATGGTGATCGCTCTGTGCCATGCGACATTCATACATCACTGCCCCACTGGGATCTCTAAAATTTAACATCGTCCTGTGTGGAATGGGTTTCTTGAAAAACGCAAAAGTCTGATCAATGGTTTTTAACAAACAAAAAGAGGGCTTTGCACTTCACATTGTTTCTTAGACCCCTGGCATTAAGAGAAATTAACGATATCGACATTGATAAACAAACAGCAATTAACAGCTGTTAACACGAATCAAAACAAAGGCAAAAAGTCATAGTCATGATAGATGAGAAGAAAACTGAGATGAACAGAGCTTAACTGACCAATTTAAATGATCAATTTAAAGGTCCAGCTGTAATACGATGATAGCTCAAATGCAATAGTGACAGTTAACAGTCACAATCTTAGAAAAGAGCACACGATCCTCATGATGGAACTCACAAAGTAATCTCCACACCTTCAATGAACACACGCGCTCCTACGTAATAGGCCATTTTTCGAGATTGAGGTCTCTGCAGAGCAAAAGTGGGTGTTTCTGGACTTGTGGGTGTTTTCAAACTGCAGGGTGTTTCTCAATCATGCAATCAAAATGATCCCCCTTACCTAACCCCACCCCTA